CAATGGCATCATTATAGGAATTTCCCTTCGGCGACAGATCCTCATCATTGAAATAAATAAATAGTTGGTCCTTGGGTTTTGAATCGAAGGTTGCTGCGCAGAGCTTCGTTATTTGTTACCTCTTCTGGTCTGTCTTCCTAGGTGGTTCGCTCCATCCAAAGATAGCGGACACATATCCTGCAATGTGGATGGTGTTTGTGCAAATAGGTCCGTCAGCTAGTCCCCCCATGAGAGCATTGCCTTGCCTCTGGTCGCGACTCCAGGGGTGACAAATTTTTTTAGCTTCCCCTCTTTTATCAACTCTTTTATCAGGCTCCGGAGGTGCCGACATTCATTTGTGTCGTGCCCGTAGTCCCTATGATGCTTGCAGTATTTCCTACTATCCCGGAGAAAGGCTATAGTTTTCATCGGGAGTGCTTTCTTGAATAATTCTTTGTCTTGAATGGCGTCCACTATTTTTACAATGGACACACTCAATGGGGTTGCTCGGGGGACCCCGTGGCTATACCGGGGTTGGTCATAATAATAAGACGATCGGTAGTTTTGGACGTTTATTTGTCTCCTCTGATCCTCATGATGATGGGAGGAGTTGTTGGGGTGGTTTTTGTAGTGTGCGTGGACGATCGATCGTTCATTCTGTCTTAATATCCTTTTGTTGTCCTGCGGCGGCCTCTTTTGGTGTCTTTGCTCGGCGGGTTCGATGGCGTTTTCGTAGGTAGCTATGTACTTATTAAGCATCTCTAATAGCTCGGCCAACTTTGCTGCTCTGCGAGATTAAGGTTGAAGCGGAGTCTTTCCGAACTTACCCCCTGTGTTAGTGCGACATGGGCCATATCAAGTTTCAAGTCTTTCACATCCAATGATTCTCTATGAACTGTGTAATAAATGATCACAAGCTCTCTTCTGCTCCTTGTTTCAGTTTCCATAAGGATCAGGCGCACTTTTTGGGTCTCAAAGCGCGGGCAAACTAAGATAGAAAGAGCCTCCTGAACTACACAAAATAAGTGATCACTCTTGCGAGTAACCTGTCGAAACATCTTAGTGCAGAGAATCTCGACGTTGTAAGAAACAGCTTACACTAGAGAGTGTCAAAGGTTTTTAGCAAGCATATGGAAGATTTAAGCGACGCGAGGTGGTCATTGGGATTCAACCTTCCTTTGTATGACTCTAGGACGGGCATTTTTAACTTCTCCAGGGGTTCAAACCCCGAGACTTGCAGTGAAAAGGCATTTTTCGACAGATACGGTGCCTCGATTCGCACCTATCAATTCCTCTCCTCCCCAGGGGCGGATTCAGTGCTATCTCGGTATAACACATCGTCGGGCTTCTCCAGTAGGTGGATTGTTCTTCTTCCATAGTTCGCTGGCGGTTCCCCATGAGAGGTTTGAGTGCCCCTGTTTGGGCCAATTCTCCTGAAACTATGACCGCCCCTAGGGCAACTACCGCTCTGAGTAGCTCTGCAAAATGTCTTGACATCTGATTAGTGATTTGAGTCCACAGGTCTTGCAGGCCTTGCTAAACAAATTCCTCCATGAAATCTTTGTTCTTGTTGCTTCTGCCATGTTCCTCTGTGACCGAAATCTCCTTGTTTTGTTGTTGAGCTCATTTTCTTGTTGATGACATGTTTCCAAGCTCACACCCCTTAAAGAATATTGAATCCAAATATATCTGTGAAACGCACCCAAGGTATAGAGTGTCGCACTGAAAAGAGAGTATAGTGGAAAATAGTAGAGAACGTGTAACATTTGTTATTGATATTGACCTCTTATTTATAGGAATGAGTCCAGGTTTTTCAAAATTACATATTTACCCTCTCATCCTTGGCATTTCAGAGAGGCATTTTAAGTATTTTACAAGAATATTGAATACAATAAGGTCGATCGTATCATCCGGTCGGGAGATGCTTGTCGATTGTTTGCTCCATCTTTACATAGACTGATCATCATTACGAGGGATAGTTCCTCAATTCGCTTTGTCAGAATCTGATTTCTTCGATCCTCTGTTTCATGCTTTCCTTGTCAGCCTATGATCCATCAGTCGTCTGGGAATTGTCCGTCATTGATGTCCATAGATCGCTCTATGTCTTTTGGGTCATCTGATTGTTTAAAGATTCATGCATCTCCGTCATTGATGTCCATAGATCGCTCTATGTCTTTGATCGCATATGAAGATGAAGCAAGAACAACGACAAACAATTGCAATGGACCTTGAAACTTTGATTTATAGATGAAGAAAGGCATCAATGATGAAGAATAAAAAAGAGATTTATCTTATGTTGTTTTAATGAGTTCAAACACCATAGTAATTTGACCAATCATGCATCTTCAAGTTATTTAGATAAGTTCTCTAAAGAAGAAGACAATGTGATTTTGCTTGTCATTGAAGACAAAGGAAAGGATGGAAATTACAAGATTCAAATCTTTTTATTTATGATATTATGAAAATCTAAAAAGTAAATTTTATAGATATTAAAAATAATTATAAAAAGGTTCAAATATACTCAATACTATTAAGATGATTTAATAAAAATACTCTTTTCCACTTCTCTCCATTTTAACACGGTATTAAAAGTTAGTGTTTAAAAACCACCCAAAATTCTCTAAACACTTTTTAGACAATGCTGTACTTTTGAACTTTTGATCTCTATTACACTGTTCCCATAATTTCCTCTTAATGAAACTAATTTGTGATCTACCAACTTCTCCATTGATGAGACCCTTATCTCTATAGTCGATTAGTAGGCATTAGGCCCCCACTATTTCTCATAAATATTAACACCTTTGCAATCTACACATATTCTCAAATTGTAACTACATCAATCTTTAATCCACACTACATTGACCTCTTGATCGATCCTCTTTACCAACTCTCATTTTTGATAGTTTCAATGATACATTCATTAACACCTTTAAGTAGTACCACAATTTTTTTCTTTTTTCCCTAAATCAGTGCCTCTACTTAAAAATCTTAATTGCATCTTCTTTAATATATGTGTTTGTTAAGTCTTTATATTTAATTCATACTACTATCTTTCCGCACTTATTTGCTCACCCTTCGTAACGCTGACATTTAATTACTTCATCTCTAGTCACAAATATTCCCAAAATCAAATTAATATCTTTTATGTCACCATGAGTTTTTTAGGTAGTGCTAAAATATAACTTATTTATTATAGAAATTTCTTTATTTATTAACAAAATATTTTCTCACAATTAAGAATATTCTCTTTTATTACATTTTTTTTTATTTTTCTCTTCCATTAGTTATATATGGGAATATACATGCTATTAATACAATAAATAAATAAATAAATAAGTAAGTTTATTTACATTTTATTATCCTTTTAACATAGTATTAGAATATAGCACTAGATCCATCATCAGGAAGCCTTTAAATTATGATGCATGCTGCAACGTAAATACACATCTATTTTTCACCTCTTCGTTTGACTTCCTCTTAAAGCTTTTTAATCCCTTCTCGTTTCACCTCCTCTTAAAGCTTTTTAATCTCTATCATTGACAACTGAGAGACTTATTCATCTTTATATCTCACAAATTAGGACATCACTGCAATCTTCTCAATTATCTAGTAATAGTGCAATACATCAATGACTTTGTCTTCATTAAATCAATTTTCTTAATTAGATGCTCTCTGTTGACATTCTATTGATTCTCGTAGACACCACCCTCTAATAATATCTCCCTTTAAGGATCCCACTATTGCCTACTTTAACAAGGATCTTTTAAACTATTTTGACTTTGACGAATAAGTTTCACTCATCTTATGACCTCACAATCTCAAGGCAGCAAAAAACTTTGATTACTTTATCATTGGATGCTACAGCTTAATTCAAGTTGACATCTTTTATACCAACTTGCCATATCTAAATTACAATATATGCTAACCTACTTGTATGAATCTACATTATTTATTAAAATAATATTTTCTCATTATTGAAGATATTCTTATTTATTGTATTGTCTTAATTGAACTTCATTTTTTCCTATATATAGACTCAAATATGCTTGTACTAATAGGAGAATTGAGTAAAATTAGAATCATTTCCAATTCTCACCTTTCTAAAAAATATATTAGAGAGAGAGAAGGTTAAAATATGATCTATTGAGAATATGTTGTTGAAAATAAACTTGAATGAATTAAACTTTTCGAATGAGGTGTAGCTAATGCACACATTAGAAAAGTAGATAATACTAGTGCAGGAAAATTTGGAAAGATATGTGATAAACTAAGACTAGACTGAAAGAAATTAATCAAAATTATGCGCAAAGAATAGGAGTAACATCTTAAATAATACTTAGTAGAAAGAAATGAAAAATGAAGATTTATAAGATCTAATGAAAAGAATTAGGATAAGGATAATGAATATATATACATCGCGTATGTATTTATATGTTGATATACTAACATTTCTCTATATAGATAGAAATATTTTTATAGATGATCTATGTTCTTATATTCTCAATTATGCAACATCCAAATAAAAAATTAAGATTATTTATAGTAATCTATGAGATTAAAAGTAGCATGTTAAATTTCATAAACTTCCGAGAAATCATGCCTTAAATAACACAAAGAATAAACCTAATGAACTACCTTGACAACAAAAGGCATGATTCATTAATTTAAACAAACAAAAGAGTTCTCAAATAAAAAAAATACATATATAAGTATACAAAACAAAAAATAATTCCAAATACTTGGATTTCTTAAAGCACATATTAATAGTGCGCTTAGCAATGGGTATTATAAGCTCCTTATTTTTTTCATCAAATTTAATTCGTGTTAAAAAAATCATATAATTTGATCACATCTAAAGTCAAAGATCAGCATCAATAAGCCTGAACTTGTATTTGAACATATGAATATTAAATCTTAGTCATGTTAAGAATTTTTTTTCTTCACATTAAGCTATGATTAAATTCAGGGCAGCAGCGTTTTTGAAAGTAAAATTGATTTCTAAAATATAAACGGGAACTAACCTCCATGCGATATCCTGCTCTTGAGGCACACATTGCATGATAATAGGTTGAACACCTACAGCATTGCGCGCATGAACCGTGCACTTGCTTACATATTACGCATCTCTGGAGCCAAAAGGACAAAAACTGATAAGTAGATCACCTTTTTTGCAAAATGAAAACGGCTATGTTTTCTTTGCTTCTAAACTTAACCTTCATAAAAGATTGTGGCGGTATATTCAATATGCCAACAGCAGGTTCCATTGTAAGGTCATTTGCAAAAGAAACAGTGGGCTGAAACCAGGCGCAAGTAACATGAACCCACAAAGAATCAACATCGGTTGGCTTCAACGCGCCACCTGAGATAGAGAGAGAGAGAGGAGGGTGAACGACACGAGAAAGAGAAAGAAAACTGAGCCAAACCAACTCATGAGCCAGCTTCGGCTCGGCTCGATAAATACCCGTGAGCTGAGCTAAATGTGTTAACAAGCCAAGCTCAAGCCAACCTCAACTAGACCCGTTAGCACGTGAGCCTATTCGTTGAAGAAATATATAATAAATAAATTATACTCAAAATATATTAAATTGAAGATTTTATATTAAATTATTAAAAATTTTAAAAAAAATGATACTTTACATTTTATATTAATTGATTCCTTATTATTTATCTTCTAATTGCTCATATTATTTGTCATTTTATTATAAAATTAGTTTAAATTAATATTTTTTCTATTATATAATAAACAAGCCGACTCGACCTCATGGACTAAACCTCTAGTTGGAACTCTAACTCAATTAATTAATCAAACTCAAGCTCAAATTGAGGGTGACTTGAGCTCTGACTCAACTAGTCTACACCCTAAGATATAGAGAGAGATCTATATACTTTTGTGGTGCTAATGAACAGAAACACAGATCATTAATTGCGGATCATAGCCCAAAAGTGATGGGATAAAAAATAACTTCAAATTTAAAAGAGTTCTACAGGATGAAATACCTTTTACAGGGCACAGACAGCATTCCTTGTTATGTTGAGGAGTTTCACAAGCTGTGCAAACCCAGGATGTAAAATCTCGTTCTCCTCTTATCCCATAGCATTCCTGATGGACAGCTACCTGACATCTGGATTTTTTTTTTAAATTAAATGACTCATATTCAGCTGAATTATTTGATTATATTTTGATTCTGGAGCACTAATGCAAAGCAGAATGTGGGGAAATATGAGAAATTGACAAATACCTGATACAAATAATGATTTTATTATAATCCCAGTCCTCAATCCATCTACAAATTGCACATCTTTCAGTTGTCCATTTAGGATACACCGGTTCATATGCTTCTGCAAATATGAAATCAAATCCCAACAAGTTTATTGGACTATCTTCAGGGGTATAAATGAAATGGCAATGAAAGCAATGAGGACCTACCCTGCAACAAAGCAAATAGATTTTGTTCTCTCTCTTTAAGAGACATTTGTTTAACTTGATTGGCTGGAATCGTCTTGGTAAGGTTATGTCCAATCTGCCAGGTAATAAAGAACAAAAACATAACCCTAAAGTGTATGATACTTCTAAGAGAAATAATTTTTTAATCTCTTATGAGCAGAGAATGACCTGAAAACTCAAAGTTCAACATCAAAGCATGCACGAGAAGTAAAATTTAAGTGCAGCTAGTGATTCAAGAAACACATAAAGCAAAAGAAATGCAATGTCTTTGTTTCATCTAAAAGGTACTGCTACCTGACATAACTAACGGAGGAAATTTCATCGTCAATAAAATAAATAAAAACTTACATAAATACCACACAAATATTGCTACCTGACACCTTACCTGTCCATGAAAAAGGAGCATTTTACTTTTTTAGAGTTAAAATGGTGAAATTTTTTATGTGATATGAAAGATTTAGATGGTATAAATGTAAAAAGTAAAGTTTTGTAAAAAGTAAAGTTGTAAAGTTTGTGTTAAATATGTAAATACATAGGAATAGGGTGGTATGTAGTAAATGGCCCTAAAATAAAGAATGAATCAAGCTGTTGTTGGTATACAGACCCATTCTCCCAGTGGCGTCATGGTACTTTTAACTTTGACGCTACTCTTCCATTTTTTACTTCTACAACCTGTGTGACGCTCCCATTCACTAAGTGTAGCTTTTTTTCCCTCGCAAGTGCTGCAATGACATATCACCCTGCCATAGCCATAAACCATAATGAAATAAGCAGTAACTTTATTGAAAACACTTATAATTTCGCTCCTTAGGAAAAATTCATCCAAATTGAGAATGAAGCGAAGCATCCAGAGTAATTAGGGGCCATTTGATAAGGGCTTTAGCTGTTTTAGTAAATCGTGTAAATCCAGAATTTAGGACAAAACTAAAATCATTTAAGAATGAACCGGATTTATAGATCCAGAATTTAAAACTGCCATTTTTGCTGTCTGCAAAATTTAAGTTAAATCCTACTTAAATCCGTATCACAGCCCCTTAATTTTAAATATTTCTCAACACAAAAAAAGGAACTCAGTTTGACATAACCATCTCGAATCAGGCTCAGCAAACAATTAGTAAATTAGTTCCAATAAAATCATTGAGTAGAAAATCAAAGTCTCTCAACAGTTCCAATATTCAAAATAAAGTGCTTACACATGTTGCTCAGCTAAGTACGTCCCCTCCATACCATAACAGCAAACGACAATCTTCTGTGGCGGAGAAACTTGCAATTGTCTGTCATAGCAACCGCTTAAAACATTGAAGACAATAGAACAAAAGTTAAAAGTGCACTTAGGAAAGAATGAAGCAGACACCAAATGCCTACCTAACTTGCTCATTATTCCTTACTGATTCTAGTAAATCAAACTTATGCTTTAACTTGCATTCAGGAGATAAATAAGCACCACCTTCCAGGTTCTATAAGTATTGAGAACAATGTTCAATCAGTGGAGCATACTTTGAATACTTTAATACAAGTATAACTAAATAACTTTCCAAATTAAACTGATCCAACATGAATACAGACCTTCAGCTTGGTGTGGTTTTTCTCTGAAAGCTGTAGAAAAAGAAAACAAACTAGTTAGCACAGAGAATGGTTTAGCTCTGAGAAGTGAAATAACTTTGTTCATCAACCTTCATGCAGTTCCGAGACACTGAGCCTTCAAGATCACCATTCACATTCTTTAGGCTTACCACTGGAAGGCCAACCACATAACTGTCACAGTGAAGACCAGGATAGTCAACATCCTACAGAAAAAGGGAACCTTAAATAATCAGCACATGAAGTAGGAAAGAGTCTTTAAAAACAATTAATTTCTCCATTAGTATCACAAAAAATTTAATTATAGCAAAATAACAACTAATAATTCAGAGGCAGACATGAACCGAAGCTCCTGTTTGAGGGCTCTTTAGAAAATATCAAGAGGCACGAGCAACAAACATTTCTATAATGTAAATGATAGCTGTCAAAATAGTTTCCTAACTCTTTGAAATGGGCCACTTCAGTCCTAGAGTCTACAAAAGTATTAATTTAGTCACCATATTTTTTAAAACCGACAGAAATAATTTCCACAGATTACTATTTCAGCTCTAATTTAAAATTTTCGGGGACTATTTTTGGCACTTTTATAGGTTTTGAGACTAAATGGCCCTATGTAAACAGTCAAGGGACTATTTTGGCACTTTACTCTAAGCATCTATAAACAAACTCAGATACCTCATTCCGTTAAACATTCTTTTAATTCCTAGTGAGGCACAAATAGCAGATCTGCTTTGCAATTTCCGTAGAATACAATAAACCAGTTAACAGTTAGCTTGCTTTTTATAGGCATATGAGAGAAAAGTGTTTTACAAGCTTATCAGCAAACATAAAAAACATTTCTAAAGTTCATGAAACTATTTTCTTACATTACAATTTTTTTAAGGTAATTTAGATGACTTACAGCAAGACCTAGATTCCTCTTTCACCATAACTAGCTAACCACCTTTACAGAACATAACGTCAAACAAACAACAGTGATGTGATTAAAATTACTAGATTGTCACTCATATTTGTATACTTGGCCAACAAAGAAAGAGTGAGGTCGAAGGAACCAAACACTCAATTTTTTTTTTGAAAAAAATGCATAAAATCCACCTGCTGCTTGAGAAAATCCTTGTAGATAATATTGAGTGCTAAAGGGAAGTGGAGGCAGCAGCCTTATTTATTAAGATCAACGGATAAAAAACTGTCTTGAAAGTCAAATCCACTATCCAGATGATCCATAAAATGCATATCTATCAATCAAGCACAGTTGCTATTATTGCCTATACGGTTAAAGTTTATAGGAGGGAAAATGCGATACAGTCTGAAATTGTACCAAAACTTCACCTGCGGAAAAATACCCTCACAAGTCACAACGGCATGTAACCATTAACATTATCCTCCTCGGTATCTAATGCAGTTTTGGCTGCAGCGCCAGATTTACATTAAAAGAACTTATAAAATCAGATAAATTCGGCCAGCAGGTATAAATCCATTAAATCCGCCTCACAGCCAGATTTATTAAATCAGGATTTGCCTCGCAGAATGGGGGAGAAATAGACGGAAAGGGGGAGAAAGCAATTTAAAGAAGAGTTGGATTTAGTTTTTTTTTTTTTTTTTTTTTTTTTTTTTTTTTTTTTTTTGTTGGATTGAGGTTACTAAAAATGTGCTACCAAACACCCCCCTGAAAGTTTTCATTTTCAAAATTAAATTCCGGTTTGCTCGACATCGCGAACAGGTTAACCAAAGGGCCGCTTTAGGAAGAGTAGAAGTAGATTGGATTGGAAGTGGTAGACCATGGTGGATCTGCTTGGCCAGAAATCAGCTCTGCTTACGATGAGGAAGAGTAACAAGGTCCTCATACTACCAAAAAATTTATATTTTTGCGACTTTCGGCTCAGCCTCAACACGCATACATGAAAGGAGGTTTGAGAAAATACAGAGACGAGAATCGCTTTGACACAATAGACAACTTAAATATTAGTATTAAACGGCGCCGAGTCGAGTGAACATGCGTGATGCAGCTCGTCACTGCATGTCTTTGGAGCTTTGCGATTAAACTCGCACTGTACAAAATAAATTTGAGAAATTTAGTTTTATATTTGTATTTATAACATCTTATATTTTTTATGTGATTTTAAGAGTTTGAGTGATATGCGTATAAATATGAATGTTCAGAGGCTAAATATGTAAATACATGAGATTTGCTTGGTATGCATCTAAATGCCCTCAATAAAATAAATTAAAATAAAACAAATGCGTTCAGAGATTACTCGTGGAAGTGGCAGGAATTTTGATATTAATCTGTAATATGGCCTTTTTTTTTCTCGTGCCGATGAAAGATATTACTTTACAAAACCCAATGTCAGCGGATAGTGCAGACAAAAGAGGATAGAAAAATCGGGCGACATAAACAGTTCATTCCATTTTTAAAGTGCCTACGGTAGAATCAATCATTTCAGAGCTTTTTCATAATCCTCAAAAACCTCCTTTTTATCATAGGATAGTTAAATCAACTATCATTTCACCTCAAATTAAAAGTTTTTTTTAATATTATAAATATCATATATGTTAAGAAAGGAAGAGGTTGACCTAAGATGACTTGTGCATATTGTATAAAAAATGATAAATGATATTAATTTATTAGAATTAAATAAAAATATGATACTAAATAAAGGTAAGACAAAAAGGATTCATGGAGCCGAACCCACTCAGTGGGATAAAAATTTTGTTGTTGTTGTTGTATTATAGTATCATAAATCAAGAATCAGCGGACTTTGTGATGATATTTTAAGAGTTGCTCATGCTAAACTAGAGGGCTATGGATGTAAAAGTATTAAATAATTGGTTCTTATAAATTCTAAAACTTTTTAGAAATATCATAAATCAAGAATCTGCGGATTTTGTGATGATATTTTAAGAGTCACTCATGCTAAACTAGAGGGCAGGCTCATTTCTAAAAAGTTTTCAAAATGTCGTCGTTTCCAATAAGCTGCCTCAAAAGGGTCCTAACGGGCCCTAAATCTCACCTACAGTCGAATTTAGTGAATCTAGACTTAAGGTTGAAATAGAGACAAATCGCGCAAAATTTTGATTTAAGCATGTTGTATTTTATTTATATTGTTTTATGTTTGGTTGTTGGAATTACCTTAAATTCATACCTAAATCCTATTTAAATTTCTCTATCAAACACCGCCCAAAAGCCAAATGCACACTTATATGAAGAGATTTATAACACCCATGTGTTATAAATGCAAATATGAAACTTTAGGTTATGAGATGTAAATGCATAAGATTTGTGTGGTACGTATGTAAATTTCCCTATATATATATATATATATATATATACACATTTCCCATACCTGTAAGAATTCCCGATCATGGTTAGAGCCTGTCGCCTCTTGAAACTCGCCATAGAAAGACTCACGAGGACTTGTCTGCTGCCAGGACATCTCCATCCCATCCACCTCCATTTCCATAAAACCATTCTCAGCCAGGAAAGCCTCCTCTATCGCCAACCTTAACTCAGACGGCCTCCTGTTATACAATTCTGTCTGCCCCTGGAACCTGCAAGCCCACAAAAATTATCACCTTTCCAACAGCATAAATTTAATAAAATTATCAATCTAACTTTCAGCTTGCATTATTGTACCTGTCCACATTGTCTATAAATGGAAAAACCATATCTTCTTTCAACAATTCATACTTCCGCTGCATAATTTAATCACATTAAGCTAACAAAAAGGATAGTAATAAAGAACTCAAAAACACATTCCCTTACATCTCCACTTTCAGAATACCCATACAGCATCACACAAATGGTTCCAGCGATGAAGGAATTAGAAGCTGACTCAGGAGCTCGTCGCATTGGGTTGACAACGATAGCTGGCCAGGCGGGATATCTCTTTCCTGGCTTAGCCCAGATGACATCCCCCGAAGTCAAATTCATGGAGGAGTGAACATCTTCTCCCTGTTCCATTTTATCAGCAGATACATTCCTCGCCGATTCATCTAAATCCACCGACGATTCATGAAGAAACGTCAAACCGCTCGGCGAAAGAGAATTTTTCATTGGTTTCATATTCCGGCACGCTCTGTTTTCGGCGACAACACATTCTTCTTCGAAATCGGCATTAATAGCCCTAGGCTCGAGTTTCGCCTTCCTACAGTTTTCGATGAGGAACGAATCACCGAATCGCGTAGGAAGCCCATACGCGCGTTCCTGCTTCACTCTCACAACCGGCGACCGCCGCCTCCGCGGAGAAACCCGGCAGGCCATCCATCCCGATGCGACCGGTTCAATCGAATTCGCCTGGCAACGCTTGAGGCTCGGCATTTGGGCCCCGTGCAAACGCTTTATAATCATCTCCTCCACCAAAGATTCAATCTCACAACCCTAGGCTCCGGCGTGCACAAGAGACGCAACCGACATTAAACCGAGGATTCGATTCGAGATATCCCAAATCGACAAGCAGAATAGAATAGGTTTCAGAGAGGGAATTAGGAAGAAGAACCAGAAGAAGGATGCCCTAATCGTGGCAGAAATGAAATCACAGACAAAAAGACGGATCGCCGTCTTCGCCCTGAAATCGAATACCAGCGCGGCTGAAAAATACTTCCTATTTCATCGTTAAATAAGCGATGCAACAAAATCCCACTTTTAACTACGAAATCAAAATTTTTCGGAGGCGAAGATTATTATTTTTCATATAATAATAAATATGTATATGTATATTTTTATAACTACAAAATTAATGAAATTATGGCGAAAATTTCGTGTTCGCCGGAGAGCGGGAGGAACCCGATGGATCGTGTTCTGCGCAACGGCTAACTTCTTTCTTCGTTATGATGATGGACGGAGGTTGTTGTATAAAATATAAATTAATAAAAGTATTTTTGGTTTTGTTATGAATATAATTATGCCCTTTACATGGGGTTTATTTTCTTAATTGCACTGTACTTGATGAATAGTATTAAGTTATTATTTAGAAGTTGTGTTTCTCCAATCAAGAGGTGTAAGTTTTGCGATTTGAAATGACGAAAATTTATCATTCTTACGAAAAAATTTTGGGAGAAGTTCTTGCTCCTCCCTCACTAACGCAAGGCCGAAACATATGTCTTGGGCTCTCTCTCTCTCTCTTGCTAATAGAGATTGCTCAACTGAAAATTTAGGTTTTATTTTAGTGTTTAAGCTGTTTTTAAGTAATTTTTTTAATTAAGTTTTTATTAACATTTTGTATATGAAAAATTTGTCAGCACGGATCTCGAGACAGATGAACAGTTAGGATGGAATATACAGACGATCAAACGAGCCTTTTCACGATCATTTGGGTTGGATACTGGCGAAGGATGTGTCTAGTTCTAGCGATCGGAGGAACACACCAGAGAATTTATTGCAGGGTGGTGATTGGCCTTAAGGAGGATCAACAGGAAACAACCTTTTTTGGATGGATTGTCGGGGGAATCAAGGCACAGCGAACAACCGACGAGATTCCTATCGATCAAATCAGTCCTACAATCTTATTACATGTGGATATTTTTTGTAATTACCAAAAAGTGCCTCTATTTGCAAAACTTGGATTCATCCTATAAATAAGGGGTCAATGTCTTGAATAAAGGTTACACATTTCTTGATGATCTCTACTTCTCTCTTTCTCTCTAACTTTTTATACCTTGGGAATGTTTCTCTGACATTTTTGGATTCAACATCTTTTAAGGTGCAATGAGTGTGGAAATATGTCGCAAATAAGAGGAGGAGCCTAACAACAACAACAGAAAGAATCCAATCAAAGGAACATGGTGGAAGAATTCATCTAGCATCCCCCACACCCC